GTTGATTCTTATATTATAGAAAACCTCTCAATCGATTAAATTATTTATTAAACTTAATTTTAAATGCAGTTTTTATTATATAGTATACAAATACAATAACACACATATTTATTTAATAAACAAAATTCTAAGCTCGATGTGAATAAAGCTTTTACATGTCCTTAAGGCTTGAATAATGAATAGTGTGTTTGTTTTGTTCACAAGACTACTAAAATCTATTACAATCTTCTATTGTACTAATTCTGCGTTAATAATGAAAATGGTAAAAATAAAATTTTAATCGTGATAAATAGAGGAAAAGAGAGTTTCGAAATCACATTTTATTTTAAATATTATGTCGAAGACATACACATATAATACAGTGATTTAACACAAAAGGATACGTTTTCTCCTGTAATTTAAATTAATTCTCGATTCCCTCAGAGTTTTAAAGCATTCATTTTAGCAGAAAATTTTGAACAATACTTCTTCCAAATGAAAGCTCGTTTTGAAAGTAAATAAAAACCCATAGAATTGAATGAATATGAAGTACAGTATAAGTGGAAGTATTTTCATCTTTTATAAAACTTTTATACAAACTCTATTGATTATAGAGAGCATAGTCTATGCCTTAATGTCTATGGCATAGACGGTAAATGTGTACACTTATGATACCCTATATAAAAATTGTATATAAAATTCTATACCTGTATAGAAAAGTATTGTATTATTTGCTACCGACATATCTAAGCTTTCCATTACCTGTCCATTACTTAAATTATATCTAATTTTGTTCACTTTTCAAATAATTTTATACTTTAAGCAAAACACACATAAACTATAAGGGATTCAGTAGTTTTATAGTTTTTATAAGGTTTTATTAAGTTTATGCTTTTAGTGTTAAATTACATTAAAATACTAACACGTCTCTACAATCATTTATCACAATTTTTTTGAAATAAAAATATGTTATATTTTTATACAAAAACTAGAGATTTATTCGAGAAAAAAGAATTTCGTCGTTTATTAAAATATATTCTGTGTCTGTATTTTATATAAAACATGATGTCTTGTAATCAATACAAGGATAGAGAAAAATGTGCTCAAAATGTATGGAAAGGCAAATGAATTGACTATCCATTGAGTAAACCTTTTCGCCCACTCTTTTAGCACAATATTCTTGATATGAACTCAATTGAGAATCTATTATATCTGTTGGTGTGTTATTTGGGCTCTAAATCCTAACCTGAATTTCTATATGACATGAATTGAGTTCAACTCTCAATAAATCTGTTCTCCTTTTTCTTTGTTAATAATGTATTAAAAAATAATAATAAATGAAATCATATTGGCATAAATTCTCGGCTATTTTTCCAATACTTTACAACAAGTACTTCAAGAATATTCTTATGAAATGGTTTTTAATTAAACAAACCATTAGTGTAAAGGTATATAATATATAGTATAGTCGTGTTATTTGTATAAAACTATTTATTATATAACATAATGTAATAAATTCTTTGCGCATATAATCTAAAAATAAAATACATTTTTTCAATCAATAAATATAATAAATTTGCATAAAAATGCTGTTATACTGTCGATAACGATACAGAATATTATGTAAAAATGTGAAAAAGTTTTATCGTTAAAAAACAGTTTTATTTCATTAAAATACAAATTAAATCCCAAAAGATATTTCTATTCCCCAAATACTATACATTAGTTTATAATACCATTCAGTTTATAATACTATTTATGATAAATGGGAGGACAATCTCATCAAATATATAACTCATTTTAATTTGTGAACAAATGTTTAGTCCAAACAATGGCACTAATATATAGGTCACCCGAAAAACGAGTAGTAGATTAGAGGGTAATGTTATATTCAAAACCAACGTTTACTATAAATGTCTTATTAGGCAATAAACTAATACTTATTAAATAAATAGAGAATATTCTGTGGAAAACGTCTTATTTGCTAAACTGATAGGCAGAACGAGTTTTAATGGTTTTATAGACTTTTATGCAGTTAAGGCCACAACTGAGCCATAAATGACTGACAGTAAGTATCGGACAATAAATCAATTGAAGATAACTCTATCCTGTTATTCAGTGAATGTAAATATTTTGCAAAATGTAGTAAATCATTGAGATCTGTATCAATAGTAAAGGTTAGGTGTTATTCAAATGATTGTCATTTGTTTTCGAGGCTAAACATATGTTTGGGTTAACCCGCGTTAACTTATGGAGGATTTTATTATTTGTTTGTTTCAGTCATTAAAACTCGGATTTCAATGAAGTCATTCACAAAACCATTCATTACACGACTAACTAATCATTATTTGGTCGTGAATTCAGAGAAATATATCTCATATTAACTTATTTTAGGAAACAAATCGATTAGAGGAAGAAGTAATTAATTTCAGTTTCATTACATTAACTATTCAACAGTAATGGTAATGATATATAAAATTGAACGAAAGGCTTCTCTTAATCTAATACTTTAGGATTTTAATAGAGTTAAAGTCACAAATAAAATAACCAAATGATTGAATGGATTCTTGAATACAATGACAAGAGTTAGAATCCTATCTCTTAATGGACTGCTTTTTTTCGCTGTGAATGTAATCAGTATTTATAATAGCATTAGTTATGAGCCATTTGGGGGACACAGGAATATAGACAACGTTTTCAATCTTAACATAAAATTATTAATCGCATGCAATAAACAACAAATAACAATAAAGTTTCAAAATTTAGCGCTAAATGATTGCGTTTAATTTAGCGGTTACATAATTAACATGTTAATTAAGCGATATTTGTTTTAAATACAAATTTAATTAAGTGATGCCTTATTAACCTTCAATTTTTAGTTATCTATAAATATAAATTATATTTGCTTTGAATAAATAGTTGCGTAAAATATAAAATGCAATACAAATTCAATGATATACAGTATAACAGAAGTGTGTTTAGTAAACAATATACTACTGTATATAACTTATGGCATATAAAAAGCATACAAAAAACAACCATTAATTGTGAGAAAGATATTTTTGTCGTCTATATTGTTAATGAGATTTTATTTATTATTTGTATTATTTTTACTATTAGAAAATTATCTGTTAATAAATATCGATCAAGAATTGTGTCAATCGATAGACTTATTGAATGGTTTTTATTGATTACAACAACACTTTGAACACAATTGAGTTAATGATATTTCTTTTTTCGGTATTATTAACAAACACTTGAATATAATAATAAATTGCATGCAATCGCCGACTGCGCTAACAATTAAGGGGAAGGCATCGGAAGGGAAGGGGCGGCCAATTATTACTACCATATTATATACATATAACAATGTTTAGTATTATGGATATGACATTTGCCTCATTTTTCCCCATTAACTTTAGCGTAAAAAAACTAGTGAATAATAATATCTACGAAACTAAACGCAAATCCAATTATAGTTACCATCAGAGTTAATATAATATATATAAGCTGACAATGGATTTGAGTTATTGCTTAAAATGATACCCACATATAACTAATACTGTATATGAAAACACATTTCTGTATTAATTGAGATAACGGGTAATAGACAACAGTTTATAAAATATATAACACATAGAATATGGTGTAAAATAGTTGTCAAACTAACCAAATGACGGGTTTGACAGCAAAATTAATGCCAAACAGGGCTAACCCATCACTAATTCATTTGAAAGCATACGGAATATGTTTGTGTGTATCGAGAATATAGACATATGTATAGAGAATCTAGACTTACGCTGTGATTGTGAGCTGTGACCGAATGGGCACAAGAATGCGATCACTAAAGACAACAACAGACCGACAGTATGTCTCATCGTCGGCGACGAGAATCCCCGTTAAAAATGATGGACACAAATATTGTGGACAAATGGTAGTGCGGATCGCATTCCTACCATTCAATCAATTTCCACCATTTTTCCAGCACTAGCTCTCACTCTCTATATGTTTTGCTGGCGTTGGGGGCAAAAGTGTTGAGATATTTACTGTTATTTTTCTCTGTATTCTCTCAATTCAATGTATATGAATAGGGAGAGTGAGTGGCTATAGAAAACGGTTGTGCGCTATAGAGTTAGCACTCGTAACATAGGATACAAATTGACGTCAATTGTATCGGAGGAGTAGTTACCAGACCTGCGTTTTTCGCGCAACAATCGCATCCCAATACCAATCCTAATGGTTAGACAACACATTAGACTATTTTATATACACAATAAGTGGTTGTCTTTTCAAATCAAATAATGAATTCTCAGTTCAGGAATAAAATTCAAATTCTGTCGACCGGCGAACCAATTCTTGAAATTACATATTCTGTTCACAATTACAAACACAATATTTCAAATTTATTTATGGAATATATTTTAGGGATACATACAATTTATTTAAATGTCTAAAATAAGTATTGAAAAACTTTAACAATTATAATAAATTAAATTACAATAAATTCTCTTCAAATAATTATTAATAAAAATATTTTTTTCAGTTCACAAGAAAAATAAAAAGTAAATAATTGTTAATAAATAGACTAAACAAACAAATCAATTATGTGTGGCACAGAGATTTCTTATTCTCTCTCTCTCTCTCTCTCTCTCTTACTGTCAATTAAATTAGTGCAGAATGTAATTCAATTTCATTTTATAATTAGCACTCCCAATGAGCTAATATTACACAGTAATGAGAGTTCATTATAACTTTATGTCAAAACTTATTTGCATCACATCCTTATAATACCAGTTTATATTTCAGTGGAAACTTAAAACACATTTTCCACTTATCATTGATTTTCACAAAATTAATTTACAATGAGTTACACAACAGTTTGACATTAATTATTTGCCGTCTGATCTGTTGCTATAGTCATAAAAACTAAACACTTTATTATTAAATCATTTTTTATTACGTAAACAGCAATACATAACATAAAAATTATAACATTTATTATATAATGCATTTGTATTTGATTGACAGCTAATTTCGCAAAACCAGATAATAAGCCGGCAATCGGTGGCAATGATAGGGCCAAACCTATAGGAGGAGAGCGTGAATATTACATTCCTTCGTATAATAGCCCACAACTCATACCACAGCCGACACAACAACAAAGACAACCACAAGAATTCATTTATCCAAACAATTTTCGGAATGCATATCAATATAAATACACTAACAATAGAGTACCAGATGTTGTGAACCACAGACAATGGCCGGCGCCGGGCGTCACAATAGGCCGCAGTCAACAGGCGTTACAACCAAACGATCGGTACGATAGTCGCGATTCCTATGAATCAAACAGAGGTCAAGCGGTCGACAATAGTCTCGCAGATAATTATCGTCATAACGATTACGAGACGAAAAGACCGCCAAAATATCATTTAGGACCGAATGACGACAAACACGACACCAATAGACAAAAATCCGCTCTTAAGGCAACACAATTCAGAGGGAACTCAAGGGTTCGAGACTTTAGCGAAGAACAGGAACGGCTCGCCAGACCCCTCATGACCGGCAACGATGAAGAATACAGAGATAGTAGTAATAATAATGACAATAACGACATTAAATTGAGTGATTTGCTGATCCAACCTGTGATGAGGCGAAAGTCGGCCGCAAATACTGATAATCAGATGCACACCTCAGCGTTACAGTCTTCAGAGCACCGGAATATTCCCATCCCATTAGCCATTCAACAGAATGTTGACGATTCTTCAAACGGATCCTTAAGTGATATCTATTTTGTCGGTAAGGATTCCCTCGTATTTCCTTATAATATGTTTTTTAATCATATTTTTAGTTATAATTTGAAATCATTTTTTAGTATTATTCACACATGAGATCATTATATTTCTATTATGCCGACTGTTTAGGGCTTAAAAACGCTCAGATTTTCCGCTAAACTTCACATTTGTTAAGCTTTTCAATGATTTTCAGCTTATTTTTGCAAATATAACTCCTCTTATCATTAATAATGAGTTCACTCTTCCAGACACTCTTCCCTTACATTTTATACGAGATTTCATGTCTTAATACAAATTGAAATACATTTTTCATAGGATTTACCGTTTAATCAGTGAATTTAGTTTAAAAAATTGTCAGTTTTTCTAACAATTCAAACGGTTGAAGAGGTTTTAGTTTTGTGTTATTAACATTTTTATTGTATGTGATATATAATATTAAATACTAAAAGCAAACAAAATACAAATGTTTGTTTTTAAAATATATATTTTTGTTATTTCGTTGACTTTCTATACACAAAAATATTTTTCAATTTTGAGCGTTTGAATTGAATTCTCATTGAAAAACATAATTCAATTCGAGATTTTATTTTCGAGGATTCTTTAAGGCCTAAAGATTTGTTGGACTAAAAGTGGGAAATAACTAAAGATAGAGAAAGGGACGAGAGAGTTATATGTGTAAAGAATATTCTGTGTTATGAATGAAGGCATCAGATTGTATATAGAAAGCAATGGCAAAGAGGGGCACAGAATATTCTGTACTCACGCACAGAGCGACCAATGAGTTCGCACGCCTTTCCCACAAATGCACTGCCATTTCATTGATTTTTGGATCAATGGTTACCGAAAGTGCATTGAATTGAGTTTTGTAGTCAACCTTGAAATTCGTGGCCACTATAATGCCTGATAATATATTATAACTGTAGTGTATATATAGTGTGTTTGCACTAACACTTCTAATACCTATCTCTGCCATCCATTATATGCAACCCTAACCTGACTATCGGTGCGCACAGCAATAGTCGCCTGTGTCAGCGCCGTTGCCATCATCGGGACGATTGGGGCCGGCATTTGCGTCTACAAAGTCCAACAAAGTAACAAAGCGGCCGCCGATGTTGACTATCCGGCCTATGGTGTGGTCGGACCCATCAGTAAAGAGGCCAACGCTAGCGGCGGCGGAAGTCTGTCGCCCAGTGGGGACCGAAAGTTGGCACAGAGTGCACAGATGTATCACTACCACCACCAGAAACAACAGATGATCGCATCGGAAAAGTAAGACAAACTTCATTTGACGCCTTTGTGCTAACTTGTGATCCTTACGTAATCTATTATCTCACAAAACGTGTCCATTAATGCCTGTTCAGAGCCGTCACTCCTCGCCGTAACTCCGCTTCGGACGTGGAGTCGGACGAAGAGAACGAAGAGGGAGAGTATACGGTGTATGAGTGTCCAGGACTGGCGCCCACCGGCGAAATGGAGGTCAAGAATCCTCTGTTTCACGACGACATCACTCCCGTGTCGTCTTCACCCCAAACCACAAATACAAAGGAAAAGTAATTATAGACTAATCTTCGCGTAAATCTTGAACACAAACAGCTATTCATACCAAAGAAATAAATCCAATGCATTGTTATATTTGTTTTATGTCTAGTCCTTTGAGTTGAGTCTCAAATCCTTTGTTAAACACAATATTTAGGTTTTCTTCTGTAATTTCGACAATAATTGAATTTTTGTTTCTCTAACTTTTTTCTTATGTAATAAATTATTAGTAATAATTTATTACTAATAATTACATGTTTTTTAATACAAGTAGTAATGTTTTATCACATCCACTGCTACTAAACAATGCATTTAATGTTTTTAGTTAAAAATTTGTAGAATATTTGCGTGTTTTTTGTGTTTAAATCTTTTCGTTTTGTATATTTTAAAACATTTTTGAAAATCAAATCAAAAATCAATGACTTTAGCGACAAAAATATCTCAAATTCATTCCTTTGAATTAATTTTGTGATCAATTTATTTGAATTATTATCACAATTCTCAGCGAAGATTAACTCATTTACCAATTTTTATGTTGTTTTTATTTATTAGATTATTATTTTTGATAATAATTTTTTAATTTAGTTATTAATTTTTAATTTATTATGTAACATTGATAACTTTGTGACAAAAACTTATTGATTTAAAACAAAAGTTTATTCTTATGGAGAAATGGTTTCCGTTATTAATTACTTATTATATTATGCACTAAATTATGATTCAAATGAACACAAAAACAAAACAATTAATTATTAAGTTTTTTATTACAAAATCATAAATTTGTAGAAATATGAGAATTTTTTAGGAAATTTAAGCCAATTTGAAGACAAAGCTATTTAATTATAACTTTAAATATAATACCAATTTTTAAAAAACCTCAAACAAAATATGTCGCTAATTATGGGCATATAATAAAGTATAGAAACTTTCTTCTCGATCAATTGAAAATATAGATTATATATGAATAAAATATATAATAAACTACTGATAATATAATACGAGTTAATATAACATATTTGTCTCCATATAAAAAACATAAACTTTTCTTTCAAACAATATATTGCGACCGAATATTAACCGAAGTTAATATTAAAAGACATTAAATAGTCATTTAAACCAAACAAATATATAGAAAAATTAATTCTGTATTTATTCTGTGACATGAAAATCAACAAAAAAATATAAACAAAATCAAACATAACTTATAATTCATATAAATATTCTTCTGATATGTTGTGTGAAAAATGTGTTGTAAAGTATTGCATGAATCGATGATTCAATCGTTTTATCATTTGTTTGTATAAAAAAATAAGAGATAATTTATTAACTAATTATTTAAGCAAAAAACACTTGTTATTTATATATCAAATCATTCAATACTATAAAAAGATATTATATGAATAGTAACCTATATATAATGTTATGCATGTATAGAGAATGAGAGATAAAACTAATCCATTTATGGACACAACTTATTACTGATTACAAGCAAAACATAACATTCCTGTTAATCACAATCAAATATAACACACTGTAATCTGAAATGAATACTACCCGACAATACAACCCTTCGATGTCTATTAATTGGATTTATGCGACAAAAACTAATCATTTTTTGCCCCGAAATTTATATCAAACAAAAATTGACGACAAAATAATATAGTTTTATTCAAACAAAATAAATGATTACAAAATTTTTATAAATTGTACAAAAAATCACTTTTTTGGACAAAAGGACCCACACATTGGATAAGACTTAATGAGTTAAATATAAATATATAAATTAATTTTAATTTCGTTCGGTGTTGTATTCAAAAAAAAATTATTGTATAAAAAAAGATTTTAGTTTCCGTTTTACATGTGATTCAAAAGATAACTATATAATTATATAATCAATAATCTTTGAAAATACAAAAAATTATATGATTTGTTATAATATTTTCTATATTTTATTATAAAAAACATTATCTGAAATACTTTTAATGAAATCAAATGTTATGTTGTGTGTAATCTATTGATCCGTTAAATTAATTGTAAAAAACCAAATAATTTATTATTTTAAATGATATGTTTATATAAATTTTATTGTAAACTTATATTTATTTTTGTTCAAATAAAATCGACTGTTAATTGTGTTGCCTTTGGTTTGCAATTATTCAATATTAATATTAATAGCATTACTTTTTGAACAGTTAATAAATATTGTTACGATTTGATGATTTACTGAATGTAATTCGTACACTATATGGCAATTATGGTCAGCCATTGGATTATTGGACACCAAAACCTAAGTTTAAATTACTGTATCAATCAGTCAATTGTTTCATAAAAATGCACAAAAACTTGAAATAATTTAATTCAATTATTAACACATTTTTTAAAAAATACATTCAATTTATTCTTTTAAAATTTCAATTAATAATATAAATGCAGAAAATAATGATTCATAAGCTATTAATAAAACTGATATTAATCTCACTTTCATTAATACACGGATATTGATATACATATTACACAATAATTGTGTCATTTATTTATTTATTTAATTACAATAATTATGATAAAGAAATGTTTGTTTTATAATTTATAAAAAACAAAATTAAATAAATCAATAGATT